AACAAACGAGTTCCCTCTGGAGCTATTTGTCTCGACAATAAGTCTCTTCGTCGTCATTTCACTTTCTGATGGTTTGGCAATCGAGAAGCTTAGAAAAGTTCAGTATTGAGGCTTTTCGGAGCGATGCACTCGACACCGGTCAACAAGCAGCGAGATAGCGGATATCGCGCGAGGTCCATTGGATGGAGAACTCGAACTCATCAAACAGTAACGAATCTGATTGTGATTATCTCTCTCTTTGCAAATAGAAAGGTGTCAATGAGTACCAACTGGCACACAAAGATCTACACAAAACTTGAGACTCGCTTTTCGATTCGCTCATGAGATCTCTATTAATCTTTTATGGTGAGTACATTTGACTTGTATTTTACTTGCCTACTCCTCCAGGTTTTCCGATTATAGGTTTTCTGAGCGTGGTTGCCGAGAATTGTCAACAGGGACAGCTCTGTGAGAGCTGTGATTTCTTTAGAGAACTTGACAACTGTCAATCAGCAGAGAAAATACCTCATTTTCTTTGCAAATCGGGGTGAGTTTCTATTCTTTCCGTTGCTTTAAAACTTCCTTGCGTCCCTATTTCTTTTTCGTTTCCTCCTTTGGAACTATTCATCCCACTTATGAAAATCTCTTCTTTCCATTAACCACCCTATTTCTATTGGGATATGCCAGCCTTTTATGTTCACCCACAAGCGATGGGTGCACCTCAGCGGTAAGGGGCTGCAATTTGGAATAGCGCTGTTGGACTGATTTCAGACAAATAAGAGCTAGTGGTGATTTTGAATCTAATCCGCTGTGAGTTCTGGTCCCGCGTCCTCGCTTCTCTAGCTGTCTTTTTGATGGTCTTTGATAAAGGAGGTGCGGCAAGATTTCAAATGAACTGCTTCCAGTCAGATCTTCGTCAACTCGTCTGGATACTTACTTTGTGAAGAAGGTTTGTTGAGATTAATTGGCTGCCAGCCTGGAACCACCTTCGAGCTGATCACGAAAAAGTGTGTCAAGTCAAGAACTGCAGGCCGTTCTAAGAGACGGCGACGAACAGCCATTGGTTTGTTAACGGTATTGTCCATAGACCAGTTGCAATCAGTCTGAGATTAAGGCTCCTCTCTCGTGGGTGACGTTTGCTCGTTTAACACCGATTGCCAGCAGGGAATGTTTTGCTCCAGTGGGAACTGCCAGTGCTTGTCAGATTTTGTCGCTGTCGAGGAACACTGTTGGCCAAGTAAGGTTCTCCACGAAGTTTTCGCGTCTTATCATTCAAGTTTTGTTTGTTTACCACAAATAGATAATTGAAAACCGATTTTCATCCGTCCAATTAAACAATTACCATATTTTTTTCGTGTCGGATGTAGATGTAAGGAAAGTGACTACCTGATGAAATCAATACATTATAAACGATCTTAGTCTATCCTCGATTCCGTTTTACCCTACTCTTCATTATTTCATTTCCTTATTCAGAGTTAGAATAGAGGCAGTTGACGTTATTGATAAGTTGTGACAAACACCTGGTACAGACACCTAGACACCTAAGCAAACAATGAAGTCGAAAATAAAGAGTGGTAAGCCAAGATTACGGTTGCTTTAAGGCGTTCTGACGATGCAGTGAGGATCATTCAACAAGGAATGCATTCATCAACTACTTTTTTTTTGTTTTGAATACGTCTTGCCTCACGGCCTCAATCGTGAACCCATCAAAACTCGTAACTAATTTTTTAGGAAAATGTGGTAGGATCTTTTATCTGGAAATGTTTGCATGCTTGTACCATAACTGTAAGCCAGTGGTTCCATGAAATGCATGGAAAATGTTAGAGAAGAAGATATCATTGAGCCGCGCTATGTTTCGGGCAAACCCTTTAAGCTGCCTGACGTCGTCGAATGAAGTGGATATAATCGCGTTCACCAGAAATGCACCGTACGGCTTTCAACAGCACGCCGCTTCCATCTTGAACTTCTTCAGCGTACATCGAGCTCAGCTTGCCATTTACTCCTATGGCTCATGCGCCTGTACCTTTCACTACTGAATCAGTTATCGTTTTAGAGATAAATCCGGGTGAATCTGGATGCGCGAATTCGAAGCAGTGTGATGCCGTCTGGCCAGATGCCATCTGCTCAACCACTGGTGTCTGTGAGTGTCCACCAGCGACAGTTCCAAGTCGTACAAGGTTGGTCGTTTCGTGACGGCGCTCTCTGGCACAGTTCAAGCTAATCTGAGCTCTTCTTTATTGTCTTAGGAACTTTCGATGTTAAGTAGTAAATGGGTGTCGAAGCAGAAATGAGTTTTTCAAATAGGGATCTCAAGAAGACGTTATTTCAAGAGTTGTACGAGTTCTCGGCCGTCAAAGTACGAGTTCACGACCGTCAAAAGGGTGTTAGGAAAATGCGCAGACTCTGCAGAGAATAATTGTTACCTATTAGCGTGTATCAACTGATTGCAGTGACAGTGAAGTGTTTTATTCTGAACAACTTATAGAAAAGGCCGTTGAACACGCCTGGTACTGATAGTACTCAAGTGGGCAGAGAGCAGAGTTTTTCCAAGCCCCCGACGAGCTTCATCTATGTCGCAAGGCTGCGCTTTCACCTTACATGACCCCATGCTATATCTTCTCAGGGACCGAAAATTCGTCTTGAAGGCCAATCTTATAAATCTTTTCTAGCGCGAATTCTGCATTCATAGGCAATTTTACAAAAAAAAATGGCTTCTGAGATTCTTTTCGGTGATGAATCTGTGACCCCCCAAAATATCACAGTGGACGCTGTCGGCTCAAAAAAACGGCCCAGTTAGGGCGTTGAAAGGGATCTCAAAACAGGCTCAATTGACGTTCATGCCCAAGGCGGACGAGTTATCACGGTGCTCTGTGCTCTAGAGGCTGTAGAAGTTGCACCATTCGGCTGGAAACTACATTTCCCACGCAGGCAGCTCCTTGTAGCCAGCTATACGCAATGGCACTAGCGGTTTGGCAGCTCGTCCAAATACTTATCACATGCTATTTTTGTTGTCACGTTCTCGTCCCTCGATTCCCCCCCGAACCCTTTTTTTGAAACTTCATATATCTCTGAGTACGCCAAGCTTCACGTTTTCTCAGCCACTCTTGCATCATTCTAGACTGTCACATCCATTATTCGTATAGAACTAGGTTACCCAGGATTACCGTGAACTGTGCTTCTGACTGCTATTTTTGTCGCAGAGCTGTCGTGGTATTTACTATTTACGAGTACAGTACTTGCTCAATGATTCGCGTTCCTGAAGTTTTCCCTATAACTCACCATTTTCGTGAGGCTTTCGCATTGTGAACTGCATAGAAAAGTAGGAAGGAAATACAAGAAACAACAAGAGAAATTAAGTAGTATCAATAAGGCTACAACTCACGGTTCAATACCGCAGCCGGCTAAGCGGCTCATGTTGTTGTAAAAAACGTGTGGAACCGATGAACTGTGTCTATAATATCATTGAAAACTGTAGACAAGTAATTTTCAGTAGGCTGAGGGATATATTATGAATGGCGTTACCGAAAGGCACCAACGCGAACTCAGGTCAGCCTAGACCGAGAGTTTACTATAGCTGAGCAACGTCGCAATGAGTACTAATTATTTTTTGCGCACTCCACCCCACAGAGCCGCGTTCAAAAGACAGTTTAGACTTTCCCCTACAAAGCAACCATCTTCGCAGATTGGGCCTTATTAATAAAAGTGAGCCCCTCCCCCCACTTCATCAATGGCTACTTTTCGGTGCGGTTATACTGCATATCGTCTTTCCGAGAACTAAGGTTCTCTCCCGTTGAGTAACTCTCACAACCATTCCCATCGCGATTGTAATTTCAAAGTAAACAGGCACATCAGAATACATATCATAGAGATGGAACGGTGTGCATCTCGTCCCTAATTCCACCGTCGTGTCCTCTCCCTGAACCTCACAATGGTATCCCAAATCCTGCTACGATACTTGCCAATCCGTCCACTCATCCGTTGAATCCCGGTGGTTACATGTGAGTTGCTTTCTCTGGATTATTCCATACAGTTTGGCGAGAGAAGTCTCCTAGGCCAGTGCTTTGCACTTCGACCTCAACGGAAATCCATAGATCCAATGGGGGCGATGGATCGACATGGTGTGTTTATCCAGACGGTGACAACGACATCTTCGTTGCCGACATTTACGACTGCATCTCTCATCCTCAGGTTCATTATGACTATGACCTTTGTCGATCTCCCGACGGACTTAAGCAAGCCTATTAAAAAGTCTCATTTCTGTCATAATTTCAGGTTACGAATGAACTGTTTCCCGAGTTTCACGACACAATAGATGGGATTTGCTGTCAAAACCGAGGTCTGAAATAATATTACAAAAGTGATGTCTGCTTCCCAACGTGTCCTTATCAGAAACAAAAAAAAAGCATGAACATAGAACTGCGTTGACTCTTTACCATTAGAAAATCTCAGGTGACCGAGCGGAACGGTTGATTAATAAGGTTCTTCCATCATGAGGGCAGAATGTTTTACCCTCAAACTGAAACATGTCGTGAAAAAACGAGCTTTAAGCGACGAAACCTCATCAAAAAAATCAAAACTTGAAAATCATCGCAGACTTTGATTCGTTGTTGTTCGGACTCCCGAATTATTGATCTACAAATGTCACTAGTACACCTGTCATGTTGGTCGGCCATAATTTTGATGAGCGATCTCTAAGAAGAAATTCAGTGAGACTCCCCAAGAAGGCAGCGTGTCTCCCGACCTTACCGACTCACATGCCTAGATCTGTCCGAAGGCGAATAAAACGTCTTCTAGACCCTGGTCCCTAATCAGCAACAGCATTTTAAACAACATGTCTTTTTATATGGCTGAAAAGCGGTATAGACCAGGTTTAAGAAGAGTTCAAAAGCCGACTTGACTTACTCCCGCTAACAATGGTTCTAGCAATAGACGTGCCTATCGGCCATGCAAAACCTACGTCGAAGTGGTAGCCGTGCTGGTGGAGCACATCGTTGTAAAATTAGATAATTTAATTATCAGCATCATCACTTCTTGTGTAAGTGCACAACTTGTTCTGCATCTTATGACAACGAGGGACGTTCGATTCTTATGATTCTGGGGGCGCGCAGCAAATTGCGCGGCGGAATTCGTGATGATGCGAACGACTGACGCCTATTACTGGATCACAAACTTGGCGTAGAGTAGATTAGTAGCATCAGCTGATCATACCCAACTATTCTACTTCAAGTTTGTGCCCCAATAATAGGCGTGAGAGTCGTTCGAATCGCACCGAATTTCGCCGCGCAATTTGCCGCGCGCACCCAGAATCGCACGAATCGCCACACATCCTGTGACAACTTGTCCGAATGCCACTTCCGTCGACATTTCGTCGTGCAACTATTAAACGATATCCAAAAGTATAATTCGGAATTACCTCAATTTTTTCAGTGAGATACTTAATTGCACCACTANTATCTTTTGCTCAATAATGGAACATGCAGCGGTTGCAAACTGTGCCTTCAAGCAAACTTTCAGTGGGTATATGCGAAGTGATGTCTGAGGGAGACGTGAATCATGCACACGTGTTTTGCTTATCCTACTCGAAAAGAGCAATATTCTCTTGCCATGATTTCATCTTGAGCTAAGCTTTGATCATGCAGAAGGGGCGAGGAAAGGGATTGAAGGGGACCTACTTCAGTCAAGGTTGCCTTCTAAGGGTTTTCAAGAAATGCATCGGTTAAAGATGTAGTTGATCATTCCTTGAAAGTCAAATGTTTGTTGGTGCAAGAGGACATTGTCCGATCCGAATGGGTTATTCTTCAATCAGCCAATCGCCCCGGTATGACAGAGTATCGTCCTCTATAGTGCCTGAAAACTGGGGTATGCAATCCATCTGCAAAACAAGGAAAACTAACGCAATTTGTACGTCAAAATGTTCACATTTTTTGAAGCCCAAATCAATTGCGACCAGTTTTTGCAATCGGACTCACGTTATCAAAAAGGTCGCGATATCTACAAAAGATCCTAAATTCCCTCTTGAAAATACAGGTGATTTCCTATAATTGTACCATTGATTGTAGCGTTTGTGTGCGTACAACCGATGGAATCTGGTGATGAGCCCTCGGTTCCAAGATGGTGGTTCAATTCAGCAACAGGAAGCTGTGTTCAATTTACTTGGGATCCAACTACCATTGAGGGAGCATCGCCAAACAATTTTAGAACCGTGGATCATTGCGAAAGCTACTGCAGAGATAGTGAGTTTTTGACAATATCACTATCGTACTAGTCATAACTGTGGCAACCGCCTTCCGCTGCTGGCAAATCACCTAGCTGAGCCTTTGAAGCTGTTCGAATGTTAGAGTTTCTGAGCAGCTAGACTGCAGCGTTCTGAAACAAAGTTTCAATATCCTTCGAAGAAAAGTGAGAGCTATGAATCGCTCCAGTAATCACAATTTCGGGGCGTTTTTCCAAGCATTACGAATGTGACAAGCAGTTGCCGTTATATAGAGTAATAAAGGTACCAAAGGCAGATCGGCTTTTGTGGGATCCAGCTGAGCTGGTATGATTGATAGGGAGTGGCGGAGGTGGGACCACCTTTGGAATCAAGCTTTCCATTCTTCCGGGTCTGTTCAATTGGCTGTTAGGATAACGCACAGACTTGTACATCGGCTGGCTACCGTAAGTCACTGTAAAGGCCACACACGCATTCTTTACGCCACAACGATTATGAATGGAAGTCGAGTGGGGGGACACATCCCTCAGAGAGAACGCCAAAAGACTTAGGACTACAATTCCAATAGGATTTGCAAGGGGTATCGGATGAATGCGTCCTTTTTTAGAATAGGTTTCCTAAACGGTTCCCAACTTCTTCACAGACTAAGCTAGTAGCTGAATTGTTGAGAGGGAATTTAATTTTTCCAAGGGTCTACCCTCGTCATTTAGTGGCCCTTGATGGTTTTCCATTGCTCATATTTGCAGTGTCCTCGATTTCGGCCAATACTAATCAGGTTCTCTCATTTCAGCATGTAAGCGTGGTGCAGTGGAATTCACTAAGTCATCTGCCGTGATATTTGAGGAGCAGCCGAAGTCAGGTTGCCTCTCGTCGGGTTTCAGATGCAGTCATGATCACGAGTGTGTGCTAATCGGATCTTCGCAAACCTGCTGCCCCTCTACTGGTAAGGAAATTTTCTGTTAGATTTAACCAAATTTAGCTGGATTCATCGATGATCCATTGCAACCAGTACTGGCCATACAATGAACAGCCTCTGCATGTGTGAATTCATTAAGTCGATTTTGAGTCGTCTTCTGAACTTTTCGATCAGAACGGGTTAGGTAAAGGCTTGAGACGAGTGAGAACCGAGTGAGATTCTTCGAGAAGGGCACGGCTGTTAGAATTATCCTGAAAAAACCCGAATCTGACAGACGGGTGGAAGTGAGCTGATTTGTGAAAAAACGAAAAGTTTTCAGACAGAGCCATAAATACGTTGCTCTTCTGCCTGGATTGCACTGAATCGTAACTGACCTATTACAAAAGCTCTGGAGGTTGGCTTTGTTGTACTTGTAGGATATGCAAAGAGCACACTTTTGCTCTCTGGAAAAAATCAATGCGATTTCTGCCCCTACGAAATTCATGGAGAGTCAAATAAACGTTACAGAACCCACCGCTTGAACCGTCATCCAAACTTAATTATAACTCTTTGCTCTGAAATGCAAACTGCATGCCAATTAAGAAAGCTCGTGCTACACTCTTGGATGTAAATGAAAGTTCCCAATGGAGACATCAATAATCATGTTTGTTTTGCAACTGTTTTCAGCTCATCTTTGTGGCCCTTACGGTGGACGACAATACATTTCCAAGCCGATATTGAACTACGATCGAGGTGTTGCGATTGCTGGCAGGTAATCTCATTTCCTTCCACTGAGCTTTCCAGTTCTATCTTCCACCTTGTATTAGTCGACTTTGAAAAGGTCTACGCAACAATTCCTAGCATTAGTAGAAGTAGTTATAAAACAGCAAGGTTTGGGAAGCGACGTACTTGAGAAGCCTTTCTAGAGGTCATATGGAAAAGCGTTTGAGCGCAATTCACGACAATCTTGAAGTTCCTAAATTATGTGAAAAGTGGGACTTATGATGCGGAATGGCGCGAAAATAGCGGAGAAAGTACGAAAATCGGTGGATTCCGATGAATATAAGGTTTTTAAAATGTGATAGGAAAGGGATTTGTACGAGGCTATGTGTCTGAAGACTTCTGGTCCCACACATAGTGTTCGTCGGTGTCGTATCGCGTCATTGTGAATTATACATTCTTACGAGCAAAGTTCACGTTGAAAGTATTAGGTTGTTCGGAAAGGAGTGCGCGTTGAATTTGTCCATTCATTGCTCCCCTACTATAGGAGATTTTTAAAAACAGTTTTGTCTATTAGGAAGAGATTTTCATTGCGCATCTATTGATATATTTTTGGCTATGCCCACTTTGTTTTTCCCAAGGAAAAAAATTTAAAAGGTGCTTGACCGAAAAAATTCCTTTCGCGGGCTTGCATGTGGTACAACTTCTAGCAAGGAAAATTGGCAGCTGAATCTCACCGTGCCACAACCGTGCCACATCTGAAGTATACGGCGAAGAAGCCTTGTCAGAAAGCTAGTGTCGACGATGGTATCAGCGTTTCAAAAACGGTAATGAAAGCTTGGAGGACAAAGAACATGGAAGTCGGCCTCAATTCGCCCTTTGCGTAAACGTAGGCAACAAGTCATTGGTAGTAATGGAGAATATCTTTTGATCTTGTTTAGTTTCGTTTATATAATAAGAAATTTTTTGAACTCAAACGCGCATTCCTTTCCGAACAACCTAATAGTTACTGAGATTTCTCCATAGGATGAACCTGTGACCCCGAGGATAGCCTGAAAGACGATGTGGGGTCGAGAAACTGCAGAAATAATGCGGAATAAGTTCCCAGAGTCGACGTGCACACCGAACACGGACCAGTTGTGAAGCGTTGTAAATGATGTAGTAAATGCATCATTCGCACCGGTACCCACAGCTTGCACGTAGGTTGCTTACTGCACCCATTTGTATGCGATAGCGCTTTGATAGCTCGTTCGAATTTCTATGCAACTTCTGTCAACACATTCTCGTCCAACCCCTAATATTACTTCTAATTTGAAGCCTCACATTTCTCTCAACACCGCTTTCCGCTCTCCTTGTCTTTTTTGCACTATTCAGGACTATCACTTCCATTATTCGTCGAAAACCAGATATCCCAAAATTATCGTGAACTGTGCCTTTGACAATGCCGTTATAACACAGCCACTTTTGAAATTGTATGTCCGCCAGGAAGGTTTTTGGAGGCCTTATTACGTGACGGAGTTATTTTTCTACACGACAATGTCCCACTTGGGAACCACAGATTCAAGCTAAGGAAAGATTTCAGTAACCATTTTCATCGTGAACTGCGCTTTCAAAGGCTCGGCAAAACCTCCGAGCACAGCGTACATGATGAAATGGGTTTTGCTGGGGAAAATGAGTGGTGATGTATTTTCGCTTCTGAATCAACCCTAAAGCAACGTAATTAGGAAAAGGCTGTTGTCTGTAAGCCCCAAATGCCAGAAGGATGAACCGGGTAAACATCTACGAAATAACATGGGGATGAAATAGGAGGTGGGGGAGGGGGGTTAAGGCTCCATTAGCAGTGATAGCAGGGCGGAGAGCAACGCCGGATGGGAGAGACAGGAGGGATCCTGAAGTGATGTTTAGAAGCATAATTCGCGGAAATTTTGTCTCTTTTGAACAGACCAAAGTGTTGATACCGATTACTGCAACGATTGCTTAGAAAGCAACGAACTCCGGATTATAGGGCTCCTTCTTCGGATTATTTCATATCTGACAGAAAAGCGAACTTCCTCCTTTTATTTCTACTGACGACTTCCAGCAAATCGACTACACGTTACTATTACGACGTGGAACGCAGCCAATGTGTAAGCTTCGTCTACCACGGTCTCGGCAACTTCAACAACTTCGTAACGAAACAAGAATGTGAGGTGTTCTGCTCCAGATGTAAGTCTCAACTTCATGAATAGTAAAAAGCAACCAAACAATGGTTACAGATCTACTTCCTGCTTTTTATCTTGAGTTAATACTGTAGCAAACTGCAGCTCCTTGATTGATTCCACTGACTTTCGCCTGGTGTTCCATTTCGAAGGTGTTTGAAAAAGAGTATCTAATGCAATAACAACAGTCACACAGAACTCCATGAAGTTTCTAGGTCACTCTCGTTGCAATTTTGAAGGAAGTTTTGGGAATAGAAAGTTGCCAATAAAAAATGGACTCAGCTTCCCATGGACTTCAAATGAGAACCTATTTATATATCAATACCGTTTAGAATGCTGTTCACGAAGATAGAATGTAGAACTGCTATTTCAATTCTCCAAACAAGTTATGAGCCCTCACAATTTGCTTAAAGATAGTTTTAGTTGAAAAGCGCAGCTATATGCACACCACAAGCGCCTCCGTAGTAAAGGGAGTGCTCTCTCTTGTTGGACAGTTTTTGGATTTGCTTCCAGCCATCATCGCTGTTTTTGCTCAGCGTTAGTTTTTAAAACCTTTTCTATCGCGGAAAGCGCTCACCTGATGCTTAGTTCATCGTTCGCACTTACCCAAGAAAGAACATTTTTACATGAAATTCATATGAGTCTTTCGATGATATATAATGGCGATATAAATGCTCTACTGTATATGGAGGCTAATAAGTAGGATTACTGTAAATGACTATTGATCTGCTGAGGAGTCGGGATTTTGGTCTACCCTCATGTACCGTGTTCAGTTTCAAGACAGTTGGCTTACGTACGGTAGGTCGCAGAGAGGCATCGGGCACAAAGTCCGGAACATGTGAACAATATGTTTCCTTGATCTGGTTGCTTCAATAAATCAACTTTGTTGTTGTTTACTCGTATCTATTCTAAGGCGATTTCTTCTGGGCGTTCCAGTGTTCAAAATGAAGAAAAGTCATATTAATGACTTGCGGAAACGTTCAGTATTGGGTGAAAGGATAGGCGTTAAGGTTGTAATAGCTTCCAAGTACGGCTTCCTATGAACTTCGGCATAACTGTGTTGTTGAGTTTATTGTTTTTCTGAACTCTTCACGAGGTTTGTAGACAAGCTTTATTAGTTTGACGTTTCGGTGGTATCGCTTTCTTCAGAGCCTCAAAGGATCATAACAATCTGTGACTACCCGACCAAGCGTCTCCTCTATCTCGCCCAAGTTCGAGACCCTCAGGGAGCGCAAGTGGTCGAAAGGAGAGGCACTCCCGTAGCTTCGTGGGTTCTTCGAAACCACCCAACGAGTGATGGTACCAACCGACCAGTGTCAGCTGGGTAAATTCCATTAAAAGTCACTGCGGGAAGGCCGATCTTATATAAGGCCGCCGCTCCCGCGTGATTGCGAGACATTCTTCCCTATGTTTCATTTTTGGATCAGTGACTTGTATCCAAAATGCCTTGAGCGTTAGCGCAGAATTCCGACTCCTGTGCTAGAACCTCCACGGTAACCTCAAAAACGCCTCCGTTATTCTTTCGAATTCGATGGCTCCCTAAAGCAGTAGACACTTTCAATCGGCTCATACCATATATGTGCTCCTTAACCCTCGCGTGAAGTGGTCTTGCCGTCTCGCCAATATACTCATCACCACAATCGGCACGTAAATTTGTAGACCACACCAGACATGTTACAATCACCCTCCCTTCCAGTTGGACAGTCCAGACAGTTTGAGGTTGTACAGAGGCGATCATATAGCCTGTTCCGAACTAGGCACTTATTTAGATTATGGGGTGGTACGTTTACAATTTCAGCAACTATTAAGTTGATGCATAATTATTGCGGATTTTTTCGCGGCTTTTTTTCTCTGGATAGAATTTGAGTATTGAGTTCGGGTTTTTTCTAGAAATGATCTAATTGATTTCCTCTACAAGAATATTTTCGAAAAACCATATCCGCGAAATTAGGCTTAACTACTTCGAGAAAGATTGGAAGGTGGCCTAGTCATTCCGCGATCTCAGTAACTTTTCAGCGATCGTTCATTAGGTGATCTAGTGAAAGTACACATGATTTCCTGTCGGTCAAACACGATTATTTTGATATAATATTTTCTTTTTCCCTGCATTTTACCTGCCCATATATATTAATTTGATGCATAATTATTGCGGGTTTTTTCCACCAAATTATACCTAAAGAAACTATAGAACTAAACAAAGGCATGTTCAAACAATTACTCCGGAACTTAGTCACCATCTACGTCAAGCACTGTTTCCCATT